TTCTTTTTTTAAAATATATTTTTAATGATTTCAGAGAGGAGGGGAGAGGAAGAGAGAGATAGAAACATCAGTGATGAGAGAGAATCATTGATTGGCTGCCTACTGGGGATCGAGCCTACAACCCGGACATGTGCCCTCGACTGGAATCAAACCTGGGACCCTTCAGTCCACAGGCCAATGCTTTATCCACTGAGCATGTTCTTTTCAGGGCAGAATCACAAAGAGTTTTGTCTCTCCGTGTTGGTCTCTGAATGCCTTATGTATTCCTTCTTCTCTTCCTATAAACTTACTTTGGTTTTGAAGGTTCAAATTAATCACACTTCTCTCAGTCTAGTCCTGGTGTGACTTCAATACAGTATGAGCTCTGTTATTGGAGAAGATGCTTTTGACCCAAGACTAAAGTGGTCTTTCTCCCCTCCTGATTTGAACTTACCGTCCTAGTCATAGATACCACTCCTAGAGAGCACCTGCCAGTCTGCTGGGTTTACTGCAGGGGAAGAAGAAAAGCTAGTCATATTAGTCCAGTGGAGAAGAAGTGAAGGGTGAGAAGAGTGATCAAAGTGAGGAAATAGTGCTTGTGGAGGCCTTGAGGCAGGAAGCAGAGTCACTAGTAACTAGGAGCCATCACAGAAGTCTTCAGGCTTTGAGGAAGTCACTATCCAGGTGAAGTCATTGCTGAAGATAAAAGCCAGCAGTTTAGCCTGAAGAAAATCAGATCAAGAGGGAACCTGAGAGTTGACCATAAACATATAAGAGAAAAGGACTGAACTCGATTCAGTAAATATTTATTGAGTGCTTCCTTGTGCCAGGCATACTGCTCTGTGTGTAGGGGGTTCAGCAATTAACAAAATAGCCATCTCCCGGTCCATGTGGAACTTATATTGTTTATAGGATAGGGTAGAAACAATAAGCTAAATAATTAAAAATATATACTAGTACTACTAGAGGCTCAGTGCATTAATTCGTGCACCTTGAAAGGAACTGTGGGCCACGAGGCTGTGGTGGGCACAGGGGCAGGTCTCAGCCCATCCTTCGTGCCCCCACCCGGCCCCTCCCACCACGGCCCCCCGGTTCCCTGTCTGCCAGCAGCTCCGCTCCCGCTGCCGCCCACGTGCTGACAGCGCTGGCCCTGCTTGCACCCGCTGATGGCGTGGAGCGATTGGGACTGGCACTGGGCGCCAGCAGCAGGTATAAGTGGCAGCACTGGCTGCAGGTGCAAGTGGCGGCTGCTGGCCCCAATCGCACCTCAGGAGCAGGAGGAGGTGGAGAAGCCCTGAGGGGTGATCGGGGCCAGCAGCCACTACTCACACCCGCTGATGGCACCAAGCGATTGGGGCCGTTGCTGGGTGCGGACAGCAGGTGCAAGTGGCGGCTCTGGTGCCAGCAGCGGTTGCAAGCAGGGCCGGCGCTGGCAGCAGGTGCGAGCGTTGGGCAGGACCACGGCATGTGGAGCAAAGAATTTTCAGTAACCACCAGAGGCTTGCCCTGATGACAGCGATCGGTGCCCCACCTCGGTCTGGTGCCCCCACTCACCTGTTCCACCATCCTGCCGTGGCTGACGCCTGCCATGTTCTGTGCTCTGCCACCTGCTGCCAACGCCTGCCATGTTCTGCACGCACCCCCTAGTGGTCAGTGCATGTCATAGCGACCCATTGTTCAGTTGTTCCGTCTTTTGGTCTATTTGCATATTAGGGTTTTTATATATATAGATGATAGAAGGTAATAAGTGGTAAAGAGAAATAAAGCAAGAAGAAGAGGACTGGGGTGTGTTGGCAGGGTAGGGTACAATATCAGAAAGGAGGGCCAGGGTGTTTGATTTTTGAGTAAAGATCTGAAGGAGGCAGGGCCAAGGGTAGGAGCATTCTGCAGAGGTACAGAACCAGCAAGTGCAAACACTTGAGAGGGTTGGAGCTGGGGGATGAGGGATGAGGAATAGTAAGAAGGCCAGTGTGTGGGAGAAGTAGGAGATGAGGCCAGGCAGGTAATGGGGCAAGTGGTGAGAGGAGAGAGAGGGCAGATCAGCTGGGACCTTGTGAGCCATTGCAATGCTCTAGGTATTTACTCTGTGAGATGAAGTACTTTGTGTATAAGGGAGACATGGTCAGATCTATCTTTTAGGCAAAAGTTGGGCTACAGTGTAGACTACAGACTGAATGGGAGCAAGGTTCATCATTCTATGTGAACCTGAGGAAGTAGCTAGAGTCAATGGATGGAAGGGGCTGATTTCTCTAAGTCAGTGGGGGCAAACTGGCCCCTTGAGTGTGGCTCTTCCACAAAATACCACGTGTGATTAAAACTTCATGGCCCATGCCACGGGGCCAAAGAGCCGCATGTGGCTCACGAGCCACGGTTTGCCAACACTGCTCTAAGTAAATGACCCCAATTAACTGACTACCCATCAGTGATACTGGCCCAGAGTTATACTCAGCAGTGTGTCACCAGCAGTCCCAGCAGAGGCCAGGGAAGTTGACCCTGGGAAGTTTCTACTTATGTAAGGCATTATACCCTATGACATCTCAGATTCCTTCCAATGAGGAGTGTCTGATTTCATAGGATGCGTCACCTCAGTCTCCCCCAGGTTAGAATATAGCTCCGTGAATGTAAGGGCTTTGTCTGTTCTGTTAATTGCTCTATTCCTGGTGCTTTGAATAGTGTCAGGAATATAACAGATACTCAATCAGTATTTGTTAAATGTATGGGTGTCTCAGTTAAACTTACTGCAGGACCTTAAGCAATGTACTTTTCTTCTCTGCACTGGTGGCCTCTAGTGACCTTTCTAGGTCTGCCAGGCTGTGATCCCATTTCTAACTCCAAGACATTGTTTCTAAAAGGCTTTGCAGGCTATGGAGCATTTGGGAAGGGGCGTTCCTATGGGGGAGGGGGGGAGGCAGGGCTGGGTAAGGGCAAACCTGATTTAAGAAGTGAAGAGCTTTGTCCTTTGGAGCTGGGGACCAGGGCAGTCTGAAAATCAATGTGAATTGTCTCTTTGAGATGCAAAGGGATATGTTACTAAAACCCGAGGGTACAGGATGCTGAGGACCCATCCCAAGCATGTTGCCTTTGTCTCCTTTGAGTCAGCCTTGTCAACAAATTGTTCACAGTCCCTGAGGGGAGGTGGCCACAGCATAAATAGCAGGAGGGAGGCCTTTTCCTTTTAAGTATTTTTTTTTTATGAAGTTCACAAATGACAAGATTTCGTTAAAGAAAAAGTTTCATTGAGGCTCAGCATTACTGTGTGTCCCCAGACACCCAGGGTGCAGTGCTTTCATGTTCCCCTGAGTTTTGGCAGAATTGCCAACATCAACATGTTGGCTGACTGTGCCCAGATTTGTTACCAGATAAGCCAATGATATATGTTGGCATATTTATTGAATATAGAATCCTTTATAATGAGCTAATATGCTAATTAGACCTGATGGCAGAACAACCTTCTGGAAGGACCTCCCCCTCCCC